AAGAAGTTGTTTGAAGATTTTAAGACATTTGACCCCTTTGACCTTGAAAGTTGGTCAAGATCGTTCATTTTAACAAACTTGGTAGCCCTTCATCCCAGCATGCTACAGGTTCAATATCAGTACCATTGGCCTTTTGGTTATTGAGGAGAAGTCGCTTTGTAAGATTTTAAGACATCTGACCCCAGTGACCTTGAAAGTTAGTCAAGGTCATACATTTTAACAAACTTGGTAGCCCTTCATCCCAGCATGCAACAAGCCCAATATCAGTACCCTGGGCCTTTTGGTTATTGTGAAGAAGTTGTTTGAAGATTTTAAGACATCGGACCCCATTGACCTTGAAAGTTGGTCAAGGAAATTTATTTGAACAAACTTGGTAGCCCTTCATCCCAGCATGCTACAGGCCCAATATAAGTACCCTGGGCCTTTTGGTTATTGAGAAGAAGTTGTTTGAAGATTTTAAGACATCTGACCCCATTGACCTTGAATGTGGGTCAAGGTCATTCATTTGAACAAACTTTGTAGCCCTTCATCCCAGCATGCTACAGGCCTAATATCAGTACACTAGGTCTTTTGGTTATTGAGAAGAAGTTGTTTAAAGTAAAAACTTGACGCCGGACAGTCAGATGACAGACGACGGACGGACGGGCGGACGACGGATGCAGCACCATCGGGCAGGTGAGCTAATAAACAAAATAAAGTCCCACGACTGGCCTCGATAGATCAGAGTAAAAGGGTAATATAAACAAAAGAAAGTCCCATGACTGGCCTCGATAAAACAGAGTAATAGGGTAATATAAACAAAAGAAAGTCCCATGACTGGCCTCAATAAATCAGAGTAAAAGGGTAATATAAACAAAAGAAAGTCCCATGACTGGCCCCGATAAATCAGAGTAAAAGGGTAATATAAACAAAAGAAAGTCCCATGACTGGCCTCGATAAATCAGAGTAAAAGGGTAATATAAACAATCAGAGTAAAAGGGTAATATAAACAGACTCCCAATTTTTGACCATTAATTTGATATTTCCAACCTAAGCGAAAAGGCGACAATAATGTCACATAATAATAATAACAAGCAAATTCATTGAATTTATATCCCCCGCTTGCAGGACATATTGTAGGTTAACATTATTGAGGTTAGGTTTAAACATGCGAGTATCGTGCTGTTGAGACATAATGTATAGCTTGAAACTCGAAGAAGAAGAAAAGCCCTATACCTCATAGACTATCCGTAAATATGCACAAATCACATCAGTTGGCAAACTAAACATGAGTCTGATGTGCATACGGAATTTGGTTGAAACATCTGAACATTTTTTACAGCAATTATCATATGAAAATCAAAGAGTGCCCCATTTGGGTGGAGTTATTAAGCGGAAACTACAGATGACATTTTTCGTTAATGAAGGGGGACATAACTCTGCCAAATGGAGTCCGATTAAAGTGGTTGTCAATCTAGGCAGAGTCCGTAATGCGTTGAACCCTGTTACTAAGTTAATATATTATTGGATAATGTTTGCAAGAGTTAATGAACAGAAACGGCAGATGACATTTTCGGTTATTCAAGGGGCCATAACTCTGCTAAATGGGGTCCGCTGAAAGCGGTCATCAAACTTGGCAGAGCCCTTAAGGCATTTAACCCTGTGACCAAGTTTGAAGAAAATCGGTTAACAATTGTTATAGTTATTGCATGGAAATGAAGCGTGACAGACAGACAGACAAACAGAGGTTAAAATCCCCCGTTTCGGTGAAAGCGGGGGATAATAAAAATTTGAGGTTCTTATATATCGCTTTATCACAACCTAGGTCCTAGGTCGTCTCAAAGCAGTTCACAAATTATTATCCGTGGTTATAGGGCCTTTGCAACCAGCCAATATCTTTCTCAACCCCCATGGGAGCATACAGCCTGTGCTGCCATTTCGGCACTCACAGCTAGCATTCTACAATTTTAGCACTGCCCAAACACGTTCTCATTTACAGCTGAGTAGACTGGAACAAGCGGAGTAAAGCATCTTCTCAAAGATACAACACAGTGCTGTGAACCTGCAACCCTTCGGTCACGAGCCCGGCGTCATACCCTAGACTACCGCGTCTTCGTTATGCACAATTAAAATCAGCCACAGTACACCCCCCCCCCCCCTTTTAAATGAATTTGTCCTCTCACACCATAACAACCCAGGTTCTAACTCCCTAGCTGTCACAGCAGGGAGGGCCAAGAACACCATTTGTAACGAAAAGAGAGTAGTGTGCTTCCACCTGGGACCAAACTTGCGATCCCAGACTTCTTTGTTAGGCGCTCTATAGTCACCGTAAGCCTTTAACTTAGTGCTAGAGAGAATTTCCCTTCAGCTCAATTCATACTATAATATTACAGCAACAGACTTGGAAGCTTGGGAAGCTGGGGGTTGCGGGTTTTATCCCTGGTGAATGTTGCGGGTTTTATCCCTGGTGAAAGTTGTGGGTTTTATCCCTGGTGAAAGTTGCAGGTTTTATCCCTGGTGAAAGTTGCGGGTTTTATCCCTGATGAAAGTTGTGGGTTTTATCCCTGGTGAAAGTTGTGGGTTTTATCCCTGGTGAAAGCACACTTCTCTCTTTCCTATTACAAAATCCACCTGTATCTGACTTGTATCAATATACTTGTACCAACTTGTGTCGTTGACTTTTGCAGGTGTTACGTAGTGTAAACACTACTACTGACAACATTGAGAAAAGGCATCATCCATGGTGTCATAATTACAGGTGTGGATCCCTGATTACAGGTTTGTTCAGTTCATGTTTTACCATACTCAACAGCACAGGTAAGATGCATATTTGAAATATAAACAATATCATAGTTACATATGAATGTCAGACAAAATAATCTAATATCCAATATATTTCTTAACATATTTGTGAATTAGCCAAATTGGGGCAAATATGGGTGTTTTTTTCTCTCCCCCTTACCCAAACTTTTCTTCAATATATATATACAAACAGTATGTGTCTATAGCTAAATTTAGCTATACTACCGTCTGACCATTTCAGTTTACCGTAACTTGTGATGTGCTACATAAAATCTGGGGACCAGTTGCTGCTGGTGAAAGTTTTAACAATGTAACATTAAGGTTTAATTTTTTATTGAACACAACGTTTGATAACCTACCGCTGGGACTGGGCTTTAGAACCAGGTGCTCAGGTTCTGGAATATATGGGATATATTATCGCACTCACTAGATATCGCACCCCCTTATACTAATAAATCATATGAGTTATTAGTATAAGGGGGTGCAATATCTGCAGACTCAATATCTAGTATATACTAATAAATCATATGATTTATTAGTATAAGGGGGTGCGATATCTAGTGGGTGCGATAATATATCACATATATTCCAGAACCCGAGCACCTGTGTTTAGAATAAGACAAAGTAGCCTCCTAGGTAGGTAGTGTATATAAACCTTCAAGTAGATAACACTGATATCAATATAATTATCACAACGGCCATTGATTGGACCACATTCCACTAGGCTAGTGACTAGCCATAAAAAAAAAACCACTAGACCTACTTCCACGTCGATCTTAATCTATCATCTTGTGTACATATATAATAAATGCATAATTATTCTGACAACGAGCTTCGTACAGCTTCCGACATACAATGCCCAAAGACCAGCGTAACAACATCACGTCAATAGATTGTGTTGTTTATACCTGCAGACTCAATTCGATAGCCATTTCCAGATCCCGCTCATATTGGAGGGAGAGTTGATCACTTGTAAGTTCAGCGTGCTGCTCTGTGCTTTGTTCAATATCCTCGCTATCATCTCCGCCATTTGCACTGTCTTCTTCGGTGTTGTCATCGTCCGATATAACGATGACAACGTCCATTTTCTCGTCCATGGAGTGAACGTTTTTTTCTCTCTATGGTTTGTGCGTGTGAAATGCGACATTCGGAACTCTATTTAAAAGTATCGTCAACTCGCCTCACTTCCGAGTTGCCGGTTACCATCTCGCCCCACTTTTGTTTCGCACAATTGCGTGCATAGAAGATGGCTATAGTTGCGTTGACAATCAAACACTCAGAGACGTGTTATACGTCTCTGCTGGTGATTACGATTAAAACCACAAAGAAACCTTTAATGAAATTTACAAAATAAATGGAAAATATGGAAAATAGATTAATTCAAAATACAAAAGTTTACAAACATTTTAAAACTGATTAAAACTTATTTCATCAATATTCAAAAATCGACTTATTAATTCCAATATTAAATAATTAATACAAAGAAACAATTTCGATTTTTTTTTTATTTATTCACTTGACAAACAAATGCATACTTTTGAACTTGCATTGAGTGAATTTGATCATGTTTAAAAACTAACTTTTACAAAGATAGAAACACTGAATGCTTTTCAAAAATAAGCAAAATCAAATTATGTATACTGAACTGCTTATATTATAAAATAAATTAACAAAACTTTGAAAGTCGATTTAATATAAAAAATAAATAAAAAAATGAGCAAAATCAATTAAAAAAAATGATTTTCAAAAATAAATATCGAAATCTTGATATATACCAGTTATGCATGTAGACTCTATATGTACATCTAATTTAAAATAATTGAAAAGCGATTTAAAGATGTATTTGTTACCTAAACAAATCAATTTAATCAAATTTTATAAAAAATGTATCTATATAAATCTTCTGAGACAAACAGAACATTTTAAATAAAAGTCCCTACATGTACAGTGTAGTCAGTCGGGACCCAAATCGGATCACTCTTTGCAAAAACACTTATAAACCATAAATCTGTTAATAGCTAAGTTATTACAGTAAAGTATCCTTATAGTACATAGGTATGCACAATTTTAAGTCTAGAGCTGATTGATTGTCGAGTTCAAATATTATTAGAAGACGTATTCAAAAAAAAATAAAAAAAAAATAATAAAAAATGTTAACTTCACGTCGTTACTGAAAAATGGCGCGTGTGTGACTGAACTACGTATTAACAGAGACGTATATATTAAGTAATACCACGGAATTAGATTAGGACTGTTATCTAAGTCCGTGGTAATACATACGTCTCTGGTATTAGGTTTTGGACTGTAGGAATAAATTAAGACTATAAGTTGTACTCATACAAATTCCAAAGGTCATCATAAAATGTTAAAATGCTGACAAAGAATATTTATCTGAAGCACTTTCAATATTGCAAAATTTAAGCTGTGACTTGATCCGTTTTTGGGTACTGAGATGTGCAAAAACCGAACATCAGAGCCCTACCTAGGTGTTTATTTCATTGGTAAGAACACCCATCAATATTCGTCTTTTGGTACAACCTAATATAACTTATATAATGCACCGCTGAACAATCGATGGTATGGTGATCCATTTAAGGTCTACTGTACGTCACATTTTTATGTTTTTTGTTATCCTATTTCAAACGCGTAAATAAACTAGTTATTTTTAATTAACTAATGATCTTCTTCTTTAGGGTGCAGGGGCTCCATCAATATTGACGATTATGCCCTCGGGGGTCCTATCACAGAGGCGTGAAAAAAGGGGTTATTTACAGTGATTAGTTTAATTTATTAATTTATATATTGTAAGCCTGCTCACAAATTTCATTTATGTGTTTCAATATTAAGCGGAACTATTAGGATTAAAGTAAATTTTGACGCAAAGTTATTAAAGCGCGAAATCAAGGCGAGTTCGTACAGAGCGATAACAGATTGGGTACGAGTTGACTATATTTCTAATCATCGCGTCGTTAATAACTACCAACGAGTCCCGAACGGTAAAAAACACGTGACGGGGATTCCCCCGATATTCCCAAGCCATCTTTTTAACCAATGAGATATAGACGAATCGTACACATTTTGAACAAAAAATCGATTTGATTTGCAAAGCTTTCACGAGAGATTAAATTGTAAGCTCCAAATGCTATTGCAGTCGGCAGGTAGGTCCAAGAATCGACTATGCATGTATGGTCAGGTCTAAATGCCGGCGGCCGCATCTACCATGGTGTTTTCCCAGGATATTACGACAGTGGCAAAAATATTATGGGAATTTCCACGCCCCGCCGGGTATGTCATGGAGACGGTGCATGGTGCACAGGTTTTGGCCTCGTGACGGATATATATAGATAATTCATAATAGTTAGGCCTATGCATGACGTTTCCTTTGACGCTACTTGCCCACCGCGCGACAATGGGTTCTTGTACAATATACTTTACTTTAATTGATTGCTAGAATTTTCAAAAATGCATTTAAATGTTGACTATGCATTTAATTTCATAACGATGATGATAAAAAATACTTCAAAAGTTGTTTCTGAATCCGTTTTTAAACACAGCTCATGGGCGATAGATGTTATATAAGCATACGTTCATTTTTAGTTTAATTTGACCGACAGATAGGAAGGGACGATAGTTGTAAAGGGAAACAAATAGAACGAATTGATAGAGGTTAACAGTACACGTGTACGTAGTTCATTCATAGCGTTTTGTTGCAAATAAGAAACGCAAGTTACTTCAAGGTAACTAGGTCAGGAAATTTTGTGTAGAATAATACAGGTATGTTTAGGACAAAAAATAAATTAGCATCTACTCTAAAGATCTCGACAGCTCTCGCACATGTATTAGCATATCATATACTGCATAATGAGCCCTGAAGATAATATATCTATGCGATCGAAATATTTTACGCGAAAAAAATCTGTTTAAATGTTGAATTATCTGGGTATCGTATTTTCTCGCCCAGACTCCATATATTTAATGAAACCAAAAGCAATCTTATTAAACACAACCTCTGTAGATATGTATGACGTTTTGAAAAAATCAAACAGAATTGTTAAACCAGTCAATATCACAGGGACCTGAGAATTTGTTACAGCTTTCTTGTTATTAATGCGCCTTTTGGGTTTAAAGTAACAGACACAGGTCTCATCCCCTGTAAGTAACTCATATAGCTTTCTTGAGTCGCAATTTCCGTACTTTTTCAATATATCTTTTAGCACATTTCGAAAGTTTAGCCTTTCGTTCAGTTGTGAGCTGAAGGGGGATCCATTTGATTTCAACATATTTTATTAACATAGAAGAATGTTACACTGTCAAAAGGATTGGACAACAGGCTTATAGCCTATATAAGTCCTCTCCATTGATGGTAGGTGTATGGACATAATGGATTGATTTTATAATAATAAGATTTTGCTTACTGTCAAAAATCAACGTTTGTAAATCTAATTAGATATTTACATAATTAAGAGGTTATTATATAAAATAGGGTGTGGGTGGGGGAAGGGGGATAACTCCCATAGAATAGTGTATTAATTAGATTTAGTCTGCAATATACAATGTAGGTAATATTTAAGGAATGATTTTTATTTTTTCAACATTTATGAGGTCATAACAACAATGGGTTTTTGGACATATTTTACATGAATCGCTAACGCGATTCATTCAATATGTCCATAAACCCATTGTTGTTATGACCTCATAAATGTTGAAAAAATAAAAATCATTCCTTA